GAATAATCAGACACACTCGGACGAGAATCATACAGCGGCATTTGTTATTCTTAAGAGATAGACAGAGTAGACAAATGGCTTCTTAAATTGATGAATGTAGTAACTTTCATCACTACACGTTTGTGTACGGAACAGGTGTGGCACCGCTAGCGTAAAATTGACTATTAAACATTTGATAATGTGATAGTCACGTCTCATCGGTTCTTTTTTTTAAGCTCAGTCAGAAAATTACTTAAGTGTATTGAATAAGCTTTAGTAATATCTTGTCTATTTTTAAACGTGCACCAGCGTCGCACATCATTATTTTAACTTAGCTTACTGATTGCTTTGTTTGAATATTATTATTATTATTATTAATTTTTAATTTTTACAAGAAAAAATTATAAACATGAATATTAGCCGCATTAAATATAGAGTTGTCAACATTTGCCCAGTAGTCGTGCGAAAACATTATATAGAGCATAGCCGCCCGCGTGCCAACAAGGCCGACCGATGATCGTGAATGTCGGCCACCCTCGCATTGAAGTTTTGCTTTTTTTTTCTATAGGTGTGTTTTGAGTGAGGAAAGTAAATGCTATTGAACCCGCCAAAATTCTATGATACTGTACAAGACTTCTAAGAAAAGAACTGAGTGTTGCGACACTCATATATTTCAAATTTTGGGCTTCCTTAGAAAATAGTCAAAGAGGTCGAATAGTGTCAGAGAAAAATTGAAATTGTGATAAAATTCTATGCGTTGGTCTTAACCTTTCTTCAATAGTTTTCTTCGACTTTAATGAATTTATAAACTCTTCAAGTGCAGAGAAAACCTTTAAAAATTAGTTGTAACATTCGAACGTATTCACTTTCCTTGTTGTACGTTTGTGCGACATAACATGCAACAAAAGTGTCAGAAAAGCGATAGGTGAAACTGATAAGGTATCTTGGGAAAAAAGGATGGGGATAGAGAGAAAGAAAGAGAGAGAAGAGAGAGAAAGGTAGCACAAGTTGTATGTATTACATACGCACGCGCATGGAAGCGCCGGCGCAATGCCGGAAAATCAATAGTTGACTCCCATAAAGTGGGTGGGTGGGTGGGTGTGCAGCTGCCTAGTCATTCGTTGCTCCCCTTGCGCTGCGGTGCGTTTGTATGCGATGGAGATGTGTACACGTACTTTTTAATTCAAAAGTGGTCAGTTAGAGTTTGTAAATAATAATTTTTTCACATTTTAACTCTTTGAAAATATCCTTACCTAAAAATATGTGTGAGGTTCATTCGAATTTTTGCACTCCAATAAAGAAATAATTGTAATTCTCTCGACCTAAATTGGTAGTATACTGTTTTCGTCCTGAATTTATACATGATTGTTGATTTCTATGACATCATTTTTTTAATGATGAACTATTTGTATTACTAAAAAATTTTTCAAATAAACTGATATATTATTTACATTGTTCTTATTGAATATTTTCAGTTTATGAAATAAGTTTAGCTATAGATTCAACTACCCCAAGTAAACCAACTTGTACTTCGTAACGGTTTCCTACTTTTGTCTTACCTAAAGCTCGAAATGTAGGTATGTAAGTAGGGGTCTACCGAGCTTCTACTTATCCTTCGGTGTGTTTATTTTGTTCTATAATAAACCTTCTGATCGAGTTGTAGTTTTCACCCTTGCCTATGTAAACCATTTTACTCAATGGAATTAATATTTTGTATGAAATGAATTAGAAAAAGCATACTTTGCGAATCGATGATTTCGCACGAGATGTAGGAAAAGACGTTAGTTAAAAAATACTCCACATTCTCCCGATGTATGCTCAAGGCGGTGGAGTGGCAGTGACAAATCGTATACGTATGTTTAAAAAAACCTTGAATCTTGTCTCCCTTGCTTTTGAAGAAAGCTGCGAGCATTAACCCTGGCTACACCGCTGCTGCGGCTACGTACGCATGCTTGTCTTCGGGTTATGTGTGCTCGCGTTTCATCCCGCAACTCATCAGCCGTCAGAAATTGCATTCGTGAAGTCTACACGACAACTTTCCTTGGCGCATGCAACGGCATTCACAGAGAACACATTCTTTGCCAATAATTAATGAGGTAGACGTCGTTGGGCAAAGGGCGAAGGTCGTCTTCAAGTCAGAAATAGTTAATGCTATACCTTACTTTCTCTATTTTTTTATGCTAGTGCGTTCGCCTCTACACTCTGCAGCAACACTACACAAAAATGATGCATTGGTCTTATACAAAAGTTACTTTACCTATTAAGCATTTTTATTTTCTGAAGTACATTTTATAATAATGAGCGACATGGTTTCAAATATTTGACTCACACCTCTTGCTCTATGAGATTAACTTGGAAACGATAAAAAGTATTTGTTTCATAATTTTGCTAGGTAAAAAAAAATGAAAAAATTTTGCTCTATGCTGTGTATTGGCGAATGCTGCAGCGTACACAGCGATGCATCGTATAGATAAAAATGATTATCTTCGAAGCTTACATCACGCTCTTTACAACAAAATGATTCAGCCTCATGTGCATGCAAAAATCAATTTTAAATGACCTTAGCTTCAACTTTGCTTAACATTTTTAATTACATTTTTTGCTCCAAAAATTTGTTGCAGTGCACAATTCAAATTCAACAGCCAAACAACTTTTTGTTCATTGTTTGTAAATGTAGCGCAAACTGAATGATAAAAGTCACAATCATTATTTATTATAGGTGTGAGCTAGCAAGCATTAAATGCATACACATGAGCGTCAATGATGAAGGCACTTGCGTAATTGCTCTTAATTCGGTGTGTGTGTGTGTGTGTGTGTGTGAGCGTGTACGCCGGTCGTTATCGCAAATTTAAGGTGGCCCGAAGACTATAGGGCCGTATGTATAAGTTAAATTTTGGGCCCTGCAGATGGCCCTCTAAAAAATTGTTATACCTATTGGAATTATTTTTATCTCGTTTTATTTTCCTTCATTTTTCTATAATTTTCGTTTTTTAAGAATCTTTTATTCACTAAACCGTGATCCAATATTGAAAGTTTGAGAAAATTGAATATAACCTAAAAATATTTTGACTTTTCATTAAATATCTTGAATATTATTTGAAAAATCTGTCGTTGTTATGCTCCAACGAAAGGCAAATGAATAATCACTCGAGAAAAACTGGATTCTTCAAAATTTTATTGCAAATTACGAATATTGAACAGTAATTATGACCGACTCTCATAAGAATGTCTGAAAGTCTAATACTTTTTTATTTTTCGTCAATAAGCATGCCTACAAAAGATATTCTTAAAGTTTTAGGATAAGTTATCTTATAGTATGCCTATTTTATGTATGCGCAAATGAGCAACAATTATTGAAACTTGTATTATACTTCAAATGAAAAAAACACCCATTTTTCAATCATTTTACGTCAATTTATTCATTTTTTGTCCTTCAAAATTGTTTCTTATTTTTAAATATTAATAGACAATACATGATTGTTTTTACGTGTAGTTCAAACTATTGTATCTGTGTCATATTAGCGTACTCAGAACTCATCTTGTTTTTATTTTCAATTTAATAATCAAATAAATGGAGTACTTGTGGTCATACACACTTTGTAGAGAAAAAATAATTATTTTTAGATTCGATAGAAAGAGCGATAAGAAAGTTTTTACTCGTAATTCCAGCATCATGGATAAACTGTAACAGACAGGAAATATTCTCGCTCAATAAAATCATCTCTGTTATATATACAGATACTTCTCACGTATGCATGTATTATATAGGCCACTTCATAGCACACCTAGTGAACGTTCATCGGTGACTAAATTTTAAATCAATATTGCAAGTCTATGGTGAAGGAAGTGTTTCTGTAGACTCTTCTGTTCTTTGGTTGCGTACGCGATGAGATGAGTACACGTTCAGAGCCTGAAAGTAACATTTTTTTAAAATTAAAGTAAAGTTTTTATTTCATAAAATAAATTTTCCCGTGAACGTGAAATTAGTTATTAAACCAAGCTTGGTAAGGCGCGTCGCATGAAACACGCTCGATAATAGCTGCACTTGAAAGAGATCAGTTTGCAATCTTGTACTTTTGGCACGCGTTTATGGCGGTTGGAATATAATGAGGAATTTTATCGTCAGACGTTTTTACACTGCTACAAGCCGTTTATTGAACGAACATCAATTATGTATCCCCTCGAATGACCTCACTAATCTCCTGATCATCGGTGAGTCTTTATTTTTGCCAGTCAGACACTACTCTGGATGAGGCTCCATAAATGTACAACGTGTATACATTTTGGTACAGAGCTATTTCATTATGTGGATGAATCGAAATAATTTTATTTTTTCTTAAAGGTTGATATCTTTGTATTACAAGTAGTATTTAGTGTCCTACTTTTCTTTACCTCTCATTTTTATTTAATATTTCTTTCACGCATTGAACTCGACCGTTTTGTGTCTGCAATTATATCGATTATCCAAAAATTATTTGAGTTGTTAAGAGATGCCCTTAATTAAACTGTTTAAACTTTTTCATACATTTGGCATGTTTGATAAGAAATGAAATTAATATGAAAGATATCGTTGATATTAAGGATGAACATAATGTGCAATGCGAATTCCCTCTAGAATATCTCGCATTTAGCGTATACAAACTATTGGATTGTCTGTGTGCGTATGTATTAAATTCTGACGTGACATCACCCTAAAGAGTGACGTAATCAATGTGACCAGCAACGACGGTCGCTTAGATTTTTTATTGCGGGCTAGATTGTCTAGGCCATTCACTTTGCACTCGTAGAGGCTATGCTCTCAATCACCTGTAGGTACGCGAGAATAAAGGTTGAATTTCGAGGAAAAAATGTATCAGTAATAAATAAAGAGCCTAAGTTCGTGTCAAATCTATGGAGATGTTACTATCTTATGAATTAGTTAGAAATATGTTCTATTTGAAACGAAAAAATATTTTCTTCAAAATTTGAGTAAACCTAGTACGATATTAAAATTTTTCTAAAAATTTCGTTTTTCTGTTTAGCAGGAGCGGCCAATGATATTGAGCGCAAGTCGGGGCTGCGTAATCTAGCCAAAGAAGAGTCTCAAACATCGAGGATCGAGTGGCAGCGACAGCCGCAAATCTCGGATCATCACGGGAGAGCGGCTGGAATATTTTTTTGTTGTAAAACTCATTACAACTGAGCAGTTGAGAAGGCGACAGCGACGACGACCACGACAACGTTGGCAAAATGACGACCGACATCTCGGTGCAACGCACCGGCTGGGATTCGACTCTTCAGCAGGAGATCGTCGACGAGTACGAGTACGATGGAGGAAATTCCAGCTCTAGACTATTCGAACGATCGCGTATCAAAGCTCTAGCTGGTAAGATTTTTCTTTGTAATTTTATTTTTCTCTTGGGTGATAACGCACTTAAATCAGGCAACATAAATAGTTAACATTCGAGCTATAAAAAAAGAAGTGTCAAGGATGAAAACGATTGTATTTCAAACGAGCGCGATCTATTAATTTTCACTGAGAGAGTAAATATTACACCTAAAAAATAGATAAACCTACTGTTGATATTTTATATATACATAACCCAAGTCTCTCTCTCTCTCTTCCTCTAGAGACTAGGCAGCACTTGTTATTGTTTCACTGTGACTTTAATACATGCACGTGCACGCGCGCTCGGCTAGCCAACGCCTGCAGCCGTCTAGTTGCAGTGTACGTTGCTCATTACGCAACATTTGCACGGTATATGAATTTATGCTCATATTGCACACACACGCTTATATGTACATGATGATCTGTCATTTCTCGACGCTGATATGTAATCGCGGTAACCCAATTTTCGCGCGCGATCTCTAAAAGCGTGTACGTATTTATCTGCATAATTCTGTTTGACTCGGAATTGTCGTTTGAAATCAATACTGTTGGCGATTATCTAATTATTTATTTTTCTCAACAGGTGAGCGTGAACTCGTGCAAAAGAAAACCTTTCAGAAATGGGTGAACTCTCACTTGGTCCGTTGCTCGTCCCGCATCGGCGATTTGTACGTCGATTTGCGCGATGGCAAAATGCTCATCAAACTTCTGGAAATTCTATCGGGCGAGCGTCTTCCCCGTCCAACCAAAGGCAAAATGCGAATTCACTGCCTGGAAAATGTCGACAAAGCACTGCAATTTCTTCGGGAACAGCGTGTTCATCTGGAAAACATGGGCTCTCACGACATCGTCGACGGTAATCCACGTCTCACGCTTGGTCTCATCTGGACGATCATCTTGCGCTTCCAGATTCAAGACATCACCATCGAAGAAACTGACAATCAGGAAACCAAGAGCGCCAAAGACGCTCTGCTTCTCTGGTGCCAGATGAAAACTGCTGGATATCACAACGTCAATGTGAGAAACTTCACGACCAGTTGGAGGGATGGCTTGGCTTTCAATGCTATCATCCATAAACATAGACCAGACTTGATTCAGTTTGAAAGACTGTCCAAGTCCAATGCCATTTACAATTTGAATAATGCCTTCAATGTGGCCGAAGACAAATTGGGCCTCACTAAATTGCTCGATGCCGAGGACATCTTCGTCGACCATCCCGATGAAAAATCCATCATTACCTACGTCGTCACCTATTATCATTATTTCTCTAAGATGAAACAAGAGACCGTCCAAGGCAAAAGAATCGGCAAAGTCGTCGGAATAGCTATGGAAAACGATCGTATGATCAGAGAATACGAGTCATTGACTTCCGATCTTCTGAAATGGATCGAATCGACCATCACTGCTTTAGGCGATCGTCAGTTTGCCAATTCTCTAATGGGTGTTCAGGCGCAGTTGTCCCAATTTTCAAATTACAGAACGGTTGAAAAACCTCCTAAATTTATTGAAAAAGGAAATTTGGAGGTTCTTTTGTTTACTCTTCAATCAAAAATGAGAGCTAACAACCAGAAACCTTACACTCCAAAGGAAGGCAAAATGATCAGCGACATAAACAAGGCTTGGGAGCGACTGGAGAAGGCCGAACACGAACGAGAACTAGCTCTCAGAGAGGAGCTAATCAGACAAGAGAAACTGGATCAATTGGCTGCAAGATTTAACAGGAAAGCTAGCATGAGAGAGACTTGGTTGTCCGAAAATCAACGTCTTGTTTCACAGGTCAGTATTATTTTAGATTCATATTGACACCGGTTCATTGAATGATTCATCAAATTACGCAGAGTTGCAGAATACTCAACCATTCATTTGGATGAATCGATTCGATAGATTGATCTACAAACTTGATGAAAATTATACAATGATACTTTTTTAAATCTCGATTAAAATCAACAAATTTTTATTTTTTAGGACAATTTCGGCGCTGATTTGGCAGCTGTAGAAGCTGCTGCTAAAAAACATGAAGCTATTGAAACCGACATCTTTGCTTATGAAGAGCGCGTTCAAGCTGTCATGTCAGTATCGCAAGAGCTTGAAGCAGAAAACTACCATGAAATCGAGCGGATCAACGCCCGAAAAGATAATGTTCTTCGCTTGTGGCACTACCTGCTCGAACTCTTACGAGCTCGTCGCTCTCGTCTCGAGGCATCTCTTCAAATACAGCAAAACTTCCAGGAAATGCTTTACATTCTTGATAGCATGGAAGAGATCAAACTGAGATTGCTCACCGATGATTATGGCAAACATCTAATGGGCGTTGAAGATTTGCTGCAAAAACACTCGCTTGTTGAGGCCGACATAAATGTTCTCGGGGAAAGAGTCAAAGCAGTCGTAGCACAAAGTCAGAGATTCCTTGATCAAGAGGAAGGCTACCGCCCGTGTGACCCATCTACTATTGTTGAACGTGTTCAGCAACTAGAGGATGCTTATGCCGAGCTGGTCCGTCTCGCCGTCGAACGTCGCGCACGTTTGGAAGAATCTCGAAAATTGTGGCAATTCTACTGGGACATGGCTGATGAAGAGAACTGGATTAAAGAAAAGGAACAAATTGTATCTACTGGAGATATTGGTCACGATCTTACCACAATCAATTTATTGCTTTCCAAACATAAAGCACTGGAGAGCGAAATTCAGTCTCACGACCCACAACTGATGGCCGTTGCTGCTATTGGCGATGAACTTGGTAAGTGAATTTTTACACTTCAAAAACGATTTTTACTGTAAAAACTTTTTGTAACGATACCTAATTGTACTTGCAGTACGCCAGCAACACTTTGGATCGGACAAAATTGATGAGCGTGTACATGATATTCTCCAAATGTGGAACCATTTGCTAGACTTATCAGCATTTAGGAGGAAACGCCTCGAAGGAGCAGTTCATTATCATCAATTATTTGCTGATGCCGATGATATTGATGCTTGGATGCTCGATACTAAAAAACTTGTTACTACTGAAGATGTCGGTAGAGATGAAGCTAATGTACAATCACTCCTCAAGAAACACAAGGATGTTTCCGATGAGATAAAGAGTTATTCATCAGCTCTTGAGCAATTGCACCAACAATTAGGTACTATTATCACTTTCAGTTTGAATAAATAAAAATGAGTTATCTTAGATAATAAAAAAAATAAGTTATCTTAGATAATAAAAAAAATAAGTTATCTTAGTATTTGGTGCTATGAATAATTATTAATGTTTTAGAACTTCTGGCTGAACAAGATGCTCAATCACCTCAAGTGGTTGATCGTTTAGCTAAAGTTGACGCTGATTACAAAGAACTCGATGAACTGGCTAAGCATCGTCGACAACAGTTACTGGATGCTTTATCTCTCTTCAAACTCTTTAGCGAAGCTGATGGTGTGGAGCAATGGATCAATGAAAAGAATCGAATGCTTGACACCATGGTTCCTGCTAAGGACATTGAAGATGTAGAAATCATGAAACACCGATATGATGGATTTGAGAAAGAAATGAATGCCAATGCTTCACGGGTCGCCGTTGTTAACCAATTGGGTAATTTTATTGCATTTTGACTCTTCATTATTTTTGTATCGTAATTTTAAAAAATTTAATCATCATTAAATATTTTTGTAGCCCGACAATTATTACACGTAGAACATCCGAATTCACCTCAAATCGTACAGAGGCAAAATGAACTCAATCAGAAGTGGGCTGAGTTGCGTGACAAAGCAGAGTCCAAACGAGAAGCGCTCAATTCTGCTCATGGAGTACAGACTTTCCACATTGAATGCAGAGAAACTGTTAGTTGGATCGAAGATAAGAAGCGCATAATCCAAGAGACCGATGGATTGGAGATGGATCTAACTGGTGTTATGACTTTACAACGTCGTTTGAGCAGTATGGAAAGAGATCTTGCGGCGATTTCAGCCAAACTTGACTCTTTAGAGAAAGAGGCCAAGCTTATCGAAGGAGATCACCCAGAAGAAGCTGAAATCATCCGAGAGAGAATTTCTCAAATCCATACTATCTGGGAGCAGCTTAAGCAGTTGCTGAAAGAGCGCGATAGTAAATTGGAAGATGCTGGAGATTTACATCGATTCTTGCGTGATCTTGATCACTTCCAGGCCTGGCTTACCAAAACGCAGAAAGAAGTGGCCAGTGAAGACGAACCCACAAGTTTGGCTGACGCTGAAAAACTTCTCACTCAGCATCAAAACATCAAAGAAGAAATTGACAACTATACTGAAGATTATAGCAGTATGATGGTTTATGGAGAAAAATTAACATCTGAAGCTCCTGATAAGGATACTCAGTACATGTTCTTACGCGAGCGTCTTAACGCTCTCAAAGAGGGTTGGGAAGAATTACACCAAATGTGGGCTAACCGACAAAATCTCCTGTCCAATTCACTCAACTATCAAGTCTTTGATCGCGATGCCCGCCAAGCTGAAGTTCTACTGTCACAGCAAGAACACGTACTTTCTAAGGACGATAGCCCATCGAACTTTGAACAAGCCGAAAACATGATCAAACGCCATGAAGCCTTCATGACTACCATGGATGCTAACGATGAGAAGATCAATGCCGTCGTGCAATTTGCCGCACGTTTAGTCGATGATGGACACTTTGCCGCTGATAAAGTTAAACGAAAAGCAGAGTCTATCAACGAGCGTCGCAACACCAATCGGGACAAAGCTCAACAAATGATGGATCGTCTGCGCGATCAGCTACAGCTGCAGATGTTCTTGCAAGACTGTGAAGAACTTGGAGAATGGATTCAAGAGAAGCACATCACTGCTCAAGATGAATCCTATCGAAGCGCTAAGACAGTACACAGTAAATGGACAAGGCATCAAGCATTTGAAGCTGAAATTGCAAGTAATAAGGATAGGCTGCAACAATTGCAAATTGCTGCTGATGAGCTCATCAATCAAAAGCCTGAGCTAACAGAGATAATCCAGCCAAAGGTTGCTGAACTCGATGGTTCATTTAATGAATTAGAAACGACCACCAAAGACAAAGGTGAAAGACTATTCGATGCTAATCGCGAGGTTCTCATTCACCAAACTTGTGATGACATTGATTCCTGGATGAATGATCTTGGTAAGAACTTATTTGGTATCATTATTTACTCTTTCTGACGAATGACTCACGTGAAAAAATCAATACAGCAAACTTTAAAAACATTAGCTATATAAATTAGTCAGTCAATGAATAATCTATTTTCCTTTTTCTTTCTTTCATCAACAGAAAAACAGATCGAGAGTACCGATACTGGTTCAGATTTAGCATCAGTCAACATACTAATGCAAAAGCAGCAGATGATCGAAACCCAAATGGCAGTGAAAGCCCGTCAAGTTACTGAGCTCGATAAACAGGCTGAACATCTTCAACGCATTGTGCCGGACGAAAAAATGGAAGAGATTAAATTTAAAAAAGAAAAAGTTGCCCAAAGATTTGCTCAACTCAAAGAACCACTTATCGAACGACAGAAACAATTGGAAAAGAACAAAGAAGCCTTCCAGTTCAGACGCGACGTTGAAGATGAAAAATTGTGGATTGCTGAGAAAATGCCACAAGCTACCAGTTCCGAATATGGTACCTCTCTCTTTAATGTTCATACGTTGAAGAAGAAGAATCAATCTTTGAGGTAATTTTTATCTAGTATTTCATTGCTTAAACTTTATTTAATTTGCAAGTTTTGATATATTTTACTTTTACTTACTTCAGAACCGAAATCGACAACCATGAACCAAGAATAAATCTAGTCTGCAGCAACGGTCAGAAACTCATCGATGAAGGTCATGAAGCTAGCGATGAGTTCCGTAGACTGATTCCTGAATTGAACGAGAAATGGCAACAACTAAAGGACGCCCTAGACGAGCGAAATGCACATCTTGCTCAGAATGAAAAAGCCCAGCAATACTTCTTCGACGCTACCGAGGCTGAATCCTGGATGTCGGAACAAGAATTGTACATGATGGTCGAAGATCGTGGCAAAGACGAAATATCTGCTCAGAATTTGATGAAGAAACATGAGAGCCTAGAGCACGCCGTTGAAGATTATGCTGAGACTATCAGACAGCTGGGAGAAACAAGCAGGCAATTGATTGGTGATCAGCATCCATTGGCCGATCAAATCGCAGTTAAACAGTCACAGGTAGGTCAAATTAAAGTTTTCTATCATGTCCTCAACTGTTATAAAATTTAGAAAAATTAATTTAATTTATGTGGTGATCAAAAAATTCTCATTTAATTTCAGGTTGATAAATTGTACGCTGGATTGAAAGACTTAGCTGGAGAGCGTCGCGCCAAACTAGATGAAGCTTTGCAACTATTTATGTTGAATCGCGAGGTAGATGATCTTGAGCAATGGATATCCGAACGCGAAATGGTCGCTGGCAGTCACGAGCTAGGTCAAGACTACGATCATGTCACGTTGCTTTGGGAACGATTCCGTGAATTTGCTAAAGACACGGAGGCAATTGGTTCTGAGCGTGTCAGCGCTGTCAACGGTATCGCAGACTCACTCATCGCCGCTGAACATTCTGACGCTGCTACTATTGCCGAATGGAAAGATGGTTTGAACGAGGTCTGGCAAGATTTGCTCGAACTCATCGAGACTCGCACACAAATGTTGGCGGCAAGTCGCGAACTACATAAATTCTTCCACGATTGCAAAGACGTTCTTGGACGTATTCTTGAAAAGCAGAACTCTATGTCAGATGAATTAGGCCGTGATGCTGGTTCGGTTTCTGCGTTGCAGCGCAAGCATGGCAATTTCATTCAAGATTTGTCAACCTTGCAAACACAAGTATCACAGATTCAGGAAGAATCGGCCAAACTACAAGCAAGTTATGCTGGCGACAAAGCTCGTGAGATTACAAATCGCGAATCCGAAGTTGTTGCCGCTTGGAACAACTTGCAGTCATTGTGTCAAACACGAAGAAACAAATTAGACGACACAGGCGACTTGTTCAGATTCTTCAATATGGTGCGAAATTTGATGATTTGGATGGATGATGTAGTTCGTCAAATGAATACCAGTGAAAAACCACGTGACGTCAGTGGTGTCGAACTCCTGATGAATAACCATCAAAGTCTCAAAGCCGAAATCGACACACGAGAAGATAATCTTTTGAGTTGCATCAGTCTTGGAAAGGATTTACTGGCTCGTAATCATTATGCTAGTGATCAAATTAAGGAAAAACTTAATATTCTCACTGAGCATAGGAATGCACTGCTTCACCGCTGGGAAGAACGTTGGGAAAATCTCCAACTCAGTAAGTGCATAGATAGTCATTGAATTGTAAATAGCTAAGGTCAAGATATTAATCACGATTTCTTCTCAATTTTATAACAGTTTTGGAAGTATATCAATTTGCCAGAGATGCTGCCGTTGCTGAAGCCTGGTTGATTGCTCAAGAACCCTATCTAATGAGCCAAGAACTTGGAGTAAGTTCATTATTTTATGATGACTTCGAATAATATTTTTAAAAGAAAAATATTAATATTCAATTTTTTTATTTTAGTGTTCCATTGATGAAGTTGAAAACCTCATTAAAAAACACGAGGCATTTGAAAAGTCAGCTGCAGCTCAAGAAGAAAGATTCAGTGCCTTGCAACGTCTCACTACAGTCAGTATAATTATGATATGATAGCAATTTCACATTTTTCGAATTATGATTCAAATTTCTTCTGCTTTTTTTAGTTTGAACTTAGAGAATTGAAACGCCGAGAACAAGAAAGAGAAGAAGAAGAAAAACGCAAACAAGAAGAAGCAGCAGCTGCGGAAGCTGCTAAACTCGCTGCTAAAACAACAACCGTCTCTAGTCCTACTGGCGAGCTTGTTGGTGAAAGGTATGTCAAGTACTTGTTATTTTTTGAATTATCATTCCTATCAGAGTTGAATACTCATTACACATTATTTTTGCAGATCGGAGGCCGACGGTGCGAAAGCCGATGACGATCGCGGTAAGTGTCTAATCAATTCTTCAAATTACATTGTAACTGTATGCCCCTCCTCGCCAAAATCTAGTTCATCAAATCCTCAAGTCTCACGTACTTATAATTCTGAATACGTAGCATTTATTTATATTTTTTATTGCGTGTGATTAGATTTTAAGATTATTTTCGTGACAAAAGCGAACAATTGAGGTTGAACTTCAAAATAACAATACATCTAAAACTAAATGGTTCAAGTACTTCCAAAAATTTTCAATATTAATTAAACATATAGTTTAACTGCTTTATCGTACTTTTTTCAAATTAAAAAATTTCTTTAAAAGCTGTCGCTACATTTATTTTTTATTATTTTTTAACATAATGTTACGAGAAAATCAAATGTTTTACTATCCATCTTTACTATTTTCCTTTACAAAAAAATTAACGTATTTCCCGCCTCTATAAAATAATTTAACGCGGCACGGAATGCACAAACCACAGCAGCACTGCAAAAGACTTCAGCGCGAGCATCGCTAGCTCAAGCACAAGAAAAGTCCAAGGAAGGTGAGTGTTTGTCCGTTGCCGTTGTTTCACATAGCAAAAAACAAATGCAAAAACTTTCATCGTTCTGTGATGTTTATACATTTTTTATATTCTCATTTCTCATTTCATCAACTATGTGTTTCTTGTTTATGTCTCAATGTTTTCATAATTTATAATTATGTCCATGTTAGAATACACGTAACATTAAGTTATAACTTTTGCGTACACATTTTTTTAATATAAAAGCTTTGGTGGTGATATATTAATCAAAACAAACAGGAAATGGTTCAGGACGGCTAAGGTGCTGGAATATTATAATTTCATTTTATATATATATACATTTTTTGTTTTCAGCTTACTCTATACCTCATAATATTAATACTTAAATATTAATATATTAATACTTTAATAGTTAATTCTATTCAAAAGCAGTGATTGTGAATTAATCAATTATAAAAGTACTTCAATCATTGCCCTTGGAATTATAGATACATTTCAATATTTAATATATAAAATAGGTGATGGACGAATACAATATTAATTTTATATACAAATCATTATCCTTTAGAGGGATGGAAACTTTTTAATTGGTCTTTAAATGTCAATGAACATTACTTAAAAATGTTGGTCCTCTAAAGATTAATAAGGATATTTCAGGTTGACATGTTATATTAAATATTACAAGCTTATCTAACATACTAAACTTTTTGCACTTATATTTGCACTTTAAGTCTTTAAGCTAGGCACAATGATAAATATTAAGCACTCGTCATGATCCCAAGTTAGATGCGCTTTTAGAGTTTAGCTTAGTTATTGTTCAACATTTTTTTATTCGAGCTTGACTGTTTTCGTTTGCGGTTGTCATACTTCACAAATTAAAGCGAACGTTACGTATTACCGCTTGTTTTAATAAAAATGATAATTCGATAAAAATAAATCTTGCTCTTGATGTTATGAACGCGATATGCAGGAGTAGTTGTACAGGCTCCGAAAATTGAGAGCCGTAAGATCGCAGCTGAGGTTTCCATTTCTCAATTGCCGACTACGTCTCCACAAAAAATTCCATCGGCTATTCCTTCAAGTAAGTTCAGAAGATAAAGCGGCCGAATAGAATATTATGTTTAAAATAAATTTTCATGTCCTTGAAATCTGAAACGAAAAACCATTGAAGCTTCGCGTTATTTTTACAGCAATTTTGCGGTTATCAATATACTTGGGATAATTATAGTAGGGGCTAAAGTAAAAACTTATAGAATAAACGTAAACAGTAAATAAATATTGCACGTAAGACTTTGGAAAGTAGAAAAATTGACTACTTTTAAAAAACTGATCGCATGACGTACATGTGCATGATAATACAAATTTTATATCAGTTGCTATAATCGTAGTTACTATATTAATTTTACTCTTTATCCAATTATAATTAACATTAAAAATATAATTTTAATACGTGAGCCTTTAAATCAACCTTATAGGATATTTAATTCGCGTTTATTAGGATTTACGAGTTCGAAACGAAATTTCTCCTCCCTAGTTAAATAAATGCTATTAGCCTTGTTTGCTCATCCTTAAAATTTGCTTTTTCTCGTCCTCTCTTTGCTCGCGTTTATAACGAACCGAATAAAAAAGCAGCATCGAGAGGAGGTTCAGATTCTGGTACAATAAGACGAAAGCATCGCAGCCGTAGTAAGTCGCCCTTCAGAAGCTTCCGATGGCCAAAAAAGACGACTGTCGTTAAATCGCCGAGTTTGGACCGTAGCAACGCCAGTGACGACGAGTATGGTAAGTCTCCGGCTAACTCCACAAGTACGGGGATATTGGTGGTGGATTACTTCTCTCTTTTTCAGGTGCCACTAGCTGCTCATCAATTACAAATTTTTTTCAGCTACTGTTGCTGCATAATTTTATTTTTACAAGACTTTGACTATTTAATATCATATAATTGAAGAAATATATTATAGGAATTACAATATAATATTTATTTTATGGTAAATTATGTTAAGTTTTGTTATGTTTAATGTTACATTATATCAAAAAATACTGAATCTAAAATGGCCCAACGTGATTAGGAATCGTTTTAAAATTTACAGATGATAAATACGAGTTTTATATTTAGTTAATGCTCCATTTTGTAAACGATAAGTAGGTTATGATGAATATTAAAAAAATCAAATTAACACATTTATGTGTTATAAAACTCAAAGGGGTATGCATGCTGATTTCGAATAAACATATTCGCATGGATATAAAATTGTGCAATCATGCGGGATTTGCTATAAGTAACTAATAAACATCATTTCAGGTGCATCCGTGATTAAATGTTGACATCATTTCTTCATAATCATGATCATCTATAAAAGATCAAAAACTGCGTCAATTTTATTGATACTTATTAATATACATTAAACATATTTGAATAATATTCGACAATGTAAGAGTTATTTACAGAAAAAATATTTTATTTAAAGCATTAAAATTAGCTGCTCGAACTAGTGTCTAGCTGTTGCTTCACATAAACGTTTAATTTACAAAAGAAAAAAAATCTGTCATAAGTTTCACAAAAAATTCTCTCTGTTTGAATTATATAGAGGCCCGTAGCCCAACAGACGACGAATTCGAAGGTGTCCTGGTACGCAAGCACGAATGGGAAAGCACAACTAAAAGAGCAACGAACCGCTCATGGGATAAGGTATACATGGTCGTCCGAGGTCAGAGTTTGAATGCTTACAAGGACCAGAAAACGAGCAGAAATTCACCCGAACAGTTGTACAAAAACGAATCGCCCCTTGACCTCAAGGGTTCGACTATCGTAGTAGCTAGTGATTATACCAAGAAAAAACATGTCTTCCGTGTCAAGTAAGTTATTTCATTACAGTCATCATACAATCATTGTTAGGAGCGAAGTGGTAACTATAATTTTCTAATGTGAAATACTTTTATAGGACGCAGAGCGGATCGGACTTCTTATTCCAGGCCAAAGATGACGCTGAAATGAACGAATGGGTATCGGTACTGAATCAAGCAGCTCAAGGTGCCTCAGTTTCCGGATCGTCACGAGCGCACACACTTCCCGCGCCAACTCAAGCTGAAACTAAAAGACGCAGCTTCTTCACTCTTAAGAAAAAGTAAGAATTACATCTACAACATTTTTTTGCAGTCTTAACATCAGTACTAAAGGCATGAATCGTTGAATAGGTCGAATTCTTCATCATATCTAATTAACTTCTATGTATACTTTAACTCAAAAAACTATAGTAATAATAACATAAGATTCAGATCACTTAACTATAATTATTTATGACGTCTCATTATATTAAATTTCTAAATAAGCGTTGTATTAATATTTCAAGCACGATAAGTTAGACTTGAAGTTTTATCATAAATTACTGAAATTTATTTAGTTATATCACTTGATCACTTTCTTGAATACGTATTTACATCACCTCATTTAATATCATGTTTCCGATCATTTGTAAATTTTAGAAAAACCAAAAAGTATAAAGACACGTAAAAGTTTTACAAACAATTGGAACAACATTTTTATATGCGGTGAGACAAGTATATTGCAATAGTCTGCAATCGTCACTGCCTGTTATTGCACGTTAAAGCTACGATAAATGTAAAAAATACGTATAGGTAAAATGCAGATGGTTTAGTTTTCGTATACTTTGATGTTCAGTTCATTTTATTTATTTTTAAGCTTGTACTTAAATTTCTTTCGTCAAAAATTGTTTTTCCAATTGTTTTTGTACATATTATTGATATAAATAAAATATATAATTATTTTTATTTACTAGAAAGACAAAAGTATCAATGAAAATGCCACGTCGCTTCATAAGTTTGGGACAACTTGTTTAAAACTGCTAAAAAATAAAGGCTTATTTTTACAACATTTTGCTACTATACTGAGATGTCGCTTCCGTTCAATGATTTGCTACTAATTTGATGTCTCGAAAAAAATGGAGAATTTTTTTTCAGTTCCATTATTTTGAAGAAATTTTAATAATAAAAAACCTGAAACTCAAATTTAAAAACGCATTAAGCAACGAGTTGATCTGAATCACAAGAATTATTTAAAATAAAATAATGTAACGTACAGTTGTTACGAATTCTCGAAATTAATGGCCGCGTAAAAATAATCTTAAGATAGTAAGTTACTTGCTTCATTTTTTTTTATTTTTTTGTTTGCTATAAATTTTATATTAAAGTCATTCCGTCGCCAAAGTTGAAATAAAAATATACTATTTTAACTCTGCTTGCAAGAAACTAGGCTTTTCCTACGATTTAAGGTTAGAAAATCGGTGTTTCGCGCACGCAGTGTTAAAAATACATTTTTTAACACTGCGTGCGCGAAACACGGGCTTTCTAACCTTAAATCGTCAGAAAACCCTAGTTTCTCGCAAGCAGAGTTAAAAAATATCGTTTGCAACTAGTCAGCGAGGAAGTTGACTCACCCAGGAGTCTTTGCACCCTCGCTACGCTCGGGTGAAAACAACTCCTGGGTGAGTCAACTGCTTCGCGCACTTGTTACAAAATATACTATTTTAGTTTTATAGAAATCTAAGTAGTTTTTCAAAAAATATTCTGTTAAATGTCGGAAAACGTCTTTGAAATTTTTCATTTCAACCCTGACTTCGGTTATCCTTTAACTTCCAGGCGCCCGGGATTTTTCAATTGTTCAAAGTCATACTTTGTACAAAATTTCAAATTAAAATTTCATTGTAAAGTTTCAAAAAAGATTAAGTGCGGTAAGCGACTGATTTCTCGGCTTCCTGGAAGTAATTTTTTATAAACTGAAAATTTAATCAATTATTCATCAATAAATTATTGATGGCTAATAAAAAAATTTTTATTGGTATAATATAAAAAAATACTTCTATAAGTTACCATAAATTACTGTTTATGTATAATTCTATACAATTTTACTATTTTTTTATGTTTTTGCTAACATAAATATACTTATTTTTGCAGCTAAGGTGAAACTTTGAAATTCAATGCAAACAAAGAAGGAAGGTCGACCACATTCGGTATGCGTCAAGTAACGCATAAAACAGAAATTTACAGTCTCAAGATATACACCTCCACAATGCTTAAAAAATCGTACAGTAACAAAAATTTAACACTCGCACTTGGTCACTTTAAAATAAAAGTGCTCAAAATTCGTTAATGCAATGGTTAAAACCCCATTTAGCCAAGCTAAATTATTACCAAACTAACGATAAAAAAATTATCCGGCCCAGAAATTATTCTGGTGTAGCATTGAATACGCGCACGATTATTATCGATATGAAAAATAAATTTAAAAAAATAAATGAACAAGCCACGGGGTGGTGCACACTATTGTAATAGAAAGATCGAATATCTAATAATAGCAAAAATGTAATGTTTAAGCTATAAAAATTTAATAACCAATTAATCCCAAGTTAGTGCGATCGATTTTTCTACTTGCATATGAGGACGAAAGATTTGATAAAAAAATTAAATAATCTTCGTATCTTACTAATAAAATATTAAAAACTATCAATACAAAACCTTCATCATCAACTTGCATACATTTTCTATGCATAAACTTGCACATTCGAGCGTATGTGAATTTCAATAACTATTGACGAGAATGAAAATTCTCTGGCCATGCATGGTAAATTAAGCACCAAAAGTACCGCAACTTTGTAGATTATATTAATCTATATAAGAACTATCAGTTCATGTTTTTTTAAATCACATAATTTTTTCTTGTTTAGAATATTATGTATGTTATTTCGTAAGTACTGCTATGAAAAACGTAGTTTTACATTGTAACTTTGATTTTTTGTGTAAACTTGATACCAGTTACGAAAAGATAAATTTACTTTTTCGGTGCAGTAAATAATAATTTTGAAACCGATTTTTTGTATTTTTTAATATCAAAAGAGATGTGTGAATCCAGAAAATGTACTGTTCAATTTTTATACTAATTTGTAATGCGAAATCATATTAGAAAATCTATTATGTACAAACTTCAGCTTTTGCAAACTTTTCTAAGTTACTCATATTTTATACTTCCAAAATAATCATAACTAATTAAAATTTTGAATAAAAGATGTACGAAAGAATTTATCGAGTGATGTGTAAAACTGACTATCGTAATTGATGAAAATTTTAACGAAGCCTCAGGTTGAACGAACTAAAAATTATATTTAATTTTTGTCTCTCTACGATTTTTCTTATTTTAGTTTTCGTCTAGTATATTCGATTTTCGATTTTTAAACTGCCATATTATATATTTTTTATTGAAAGCTTAGCTGCGCTAACTTGGGATAATGTATGAGATATAACTTTTAACAATTGTTGAAGACACAATCTCTAAAAAGAGAAAAAAAAGAGATTAAAAAATTTGAAATGTTTCATTGCTATAAAGAAAAAAATTCCCTTTCATATTGAGCCCAAATTAATAAAAATTGATTAAAAAATGAACATAAATTGAGGTAAATACATATATATATATATATATATACATTATTATATATTTAATTCTCTGATGGCTTTTGGAAAAAAAACAAAAGCTTCATAAACTTAGATAAGTATAATGCAAATCGTGCAGATCCTCCTCACATATATATTTGTGAAATATGTATATTATTGTATGGTGTATATTCATTGTGGCAGCTTTGATTGAAAAAAGAAAATATATTTACGTGTATTATCTTTTTAAATTTTATTTAAAAATACTCTTATTGCAGAATAATGCAACGTTATGTACTATTATTTCATTGTACTATTGGTATTATAATTTATTTAACCTTTTATTGAAATTGTATCAGTTTATTTGCCTTATGTAAGTAAAGTAACAGTGAAGAGGATCAAGCAACGTTCTACGTGCATAGTCGAATATGATGTTTTCAAAGAGAAAGTAAATATGAATAAAAATAAATGAAGAAAATTAAGATTCTTGTTGAAGGAGAAACTTGTAAATAAAAATTATGAGAATCTCAGCTTCACAAGAAAATTAGATGTACAACAAAGGCAGCATACACATGTTATTATTGTAATATTATATTCTTTATTTTAATCGAATTTTAATGTGCTTTATTCGCGCGGATCAATATTATATTATATTATATTATATATATATGACGTTTTATTTAAGACTAAAAAGTTGCATCGCTTAAATAAAAAGTAAATATACAAATTTATTATATTAATCATTAACGCTGTGCTTTTTCTTTATTTTCTTTTATTGTAGTTAAAAATTTGATGGATATATTAAATATAAAAAAAATTGAAAAATAAGAATGTTTAGTTGATGAACAAATGTTGCTTTTATCATTTTATTTCTAATAATATGTATGTAATCTACAAAGCTATGAATTTTAAAATTTTATCATCGTCGAATCCTCATTTTTACTGAGTACAAGTGATTCACGCATTTAAGAAAAAAAAACGTACGCTTGTTATAAATCAGATTCTCCGAATGAATGTATTGTAGTTCATCTTTTCTCTCTCATTATCGATACGAAGCAGTACAGTTACTATCAATTTCATCTCGTATTAGAAATAAGTAGGCTTTACAACATTATCGCGTCATAAATGAAAACCAAGCCAAATTGTATGCGAATTAATGAAGGGAAACGGAAAGAAAAAACTATCAATACATGAAAGAAGAGGCAAAATCTCGATTAGCTAAGAAAAATATTTATCGTGATCTAGTCTCGAGTTTGTTGAGCATTGAAACTTTTGCAGAGGCTGGATTTTATTAAATGAAAATGAAAAAATTGTCTTTGTCAGAAAAAAAATCTAATGCGACTTACTACTATCTATAATAATAAAATCGTTGTTGGAAAAATACAGCGCTTTGTCACTGATCTTGTCCAACACAATCAAGTCCATTAGTTTTAGCATCCTCTGTACTAATATTTATTTTGATTCAGTTTCGTTATTAGATATGTTTTAGGCAATTATGTTAGTATAAATAAATAATTTTAGTCGTAACTTTTAAAAATTAATTTTTAGATACCTGTACAAATCAAGTAATTGATAGAAACCTAGTTACCTTTATAATATTTCGGAACACCCACTTTATCTATTTCATCATTTTAACGTCAATAATATTTCGCAAATTTTAACTAGAAATGAATTTGCTTTACAGTTATCAAATATCAATTGAATTATAAGCAATTTTTTTATTTGGTTCTTTATTTCATGAGAATACATATTTTAGATGCATGAGAAATTTTTTTCTTTTGTATGATTTGTTACAAATAAGAAGTTCCACAAATTATTTTCAGTCGATTTGCATGAAAATAAGAATCTCGCTAAAAAAATATATTCAGTTTTTTACATTAACCAAAATCAAGGAAAGCGTAATTATACCAATCCTGATACCATTTAAATCAATTTGGTATGTTTCATCAATTCTGCTAAAAATTGATATAGGTATAATTATTCGTATCGAGTATGGTAAGTGTCGCTAAATTTAAGTTTTTTTTTTTGCAAGAACGTCATTTGTTATCAAGTCATTCTCGGTATAATCTGATTAGAGGATAGCTATTTTGAGAAAGATAGAAAAAAGTCAGAAACTTGTTCATTAAATAAGACTGGTAAATGGAAGCATTAGTTTTTTGAAAAATTGGTCCAGGTAGGGGATGAGATTTCAAAGTTTTGCGCCCCACGCTTGCGTAAACGCTCCGCAGTCCACGCGGTGGAACATCTCGCACATTTCGATTTTTAGTCTAATATACACATAGGGTACATGCGCCGAAAGAGCCGCCGCAACAGCGCAGCGAGGAGCGAATGACGTTCCAGCGCTGCCGCCAACCGCACGCACTACGGCCTTATATGTATATCGAGATTTCCCACTCCGATGCTGCTGCTGCTGCTGTTGCTGCTGTGTCGAACGCAAAATATACGTTGCTCGAGAGTCGGCGAGTACCTCTCGCAGCGGCCAAGTCTGAGCAGCGACATCAGTGCATCGCGCAGCGCGTCTCGGGCGCGTTCCACGAACGTTTTCATCTCGCGATCCGGCCGAAAGAGAGAGAGAGAGAGAGTGCGAGTGTGTGAGTGTATATCTATTAGAGCGCGCCGGCCACGCGCGCATATACACAAAGCTACACACATATACATAAGAGAGAGAAAGAGGACACCCATGAACGTTGGGTACAGTAGAGTAGAGAGATTGTGGCGACTTGAACGTACGTACGGACACCAACACAAGCGCACGTAATCACGCGTATCCTCACTGATACGTACACAAACGCTCCAAATACGTAGAGGCATAAAGTCACGGCGAGGCGGCGGTAAAATCGCGTGGTGCGTGCTCTCCCATAGTGCGTGGCTGCTGCTGCTGCCCCTTCAACATACAAGATGGCCGCCGGCGGCGCGGCCTTACCCACAACATCAACAACAACAATAACAAAAACATCGCTCCTGCTGATAACATTGGGTTTGTTATGTCTGGCGGCGGAGTCGGCACGCTTCGGCGAGCCGTCCCGTACGCTCTACCTCCATCGGGACAGCAGCGACGACGATTACCCCGTGAGGAAACCTATGATCTTTAATAGACACGACGAGCGCGACGGTCCTGTAAATAATGGCGAAGACGAGCCGGTCAGCCACGGCTCCGAGTTCGCCAGGAGCAAGAGAGACACGGATAAAGCCAATCCCTCGGCGAGCTCGACGAGCGCGACGACGTCTGCTGGCTCGGCCAGCACGACACCGACGCCGCACATCAACAACCCCAACGTCACTGCCAAGGTGAGTTCTCGTTTTGCCTCGCTCCCTTCTTTTTTTAGCCCTCGATTATTCTTGTCATCTGTGCTCGAGATATTAATTTCAATGATATTGCCTCGACGTACGGCGACGCTTTGCCGGAAATTCCCGATTAGCCGTCCTTCTTTCTCTATTGGAAGTCTTGAATGCTGCTGCTGCTGCTGCTGCTGCTGCTGAATGCAGCGGTGCGGCTTGTCTTCTTTGTTTACGCGCGTCGAGAATGATCGTAGAGTGCTACGTCGTACACAGAGTAGTTTACTTTTTTTCGAAACTGGGTAGTTCCGTTCGTTTCGTTATCAAGATTTTAAACTCGATGTATGTATATGTTCGAGTGAAAACGCTGCAGACACATATGTGTGCGCGCGTACAGCGTAAAACGGAGCTATGGCTGTGAGAAAGCTGCTGATTCACATTTTGTTTACGTTTTTTGAACATCGTGGGGAATTCCATTAGTTTCTTCGAAGGTCCAAAAAACTCAGCTATAAAAGGTTTAATCTCTTTCTCGAAACAGCAGCGATTTTAATATTGCGCAGTTCCTTTGTTTACGTTGCACGCGCGCGCCTTTGCGATCTCATTATCTCTCATACGAACAGTTATGTATTTAACATTGGTTTTTTTTGCTAATTTACAAGTGTCGATCGTTCGATACTGTTGCGTGGTAATTTTCAACTCGAAAGATGCACCATTATATATTGCGTCATAACTCATTGATGACTTCTCAATATCCTAAGTTTGCCTATCAAAGAACCAACTTATTCAATTATGATTCCTCTGTCCCGGCGAACTTGTTTTTTCTTCAACAGTTTAAGAATTAAAGCAAATTCAAGTTTTACGAATTTCGGTTTCAAGCGCAATTTCTCAATTTATGCTAATTGTCGAAAGATTCATCTATGAACGATTATTGTGTACGATCAATTTTGTAGTAAACCGACTGTTTTACCAAAGATTAAAATTCATATAATCTTTGCGTTCGAGCGCTGAGTGGCAAAATTTATGTAAGCTTGTTTTTGCCTCGGCTATAATTTTTCGTAGCGTACAATTACATTGTTAACGCTAAAACGCCACATTACGATATTGCGAGCTCATGACTTGGCGACAAAATTATCCAACGTGCGATAAAGACTAATCGTCACTGACACAGCTCGTTCTTTTCAATAACAACGCATATTGTACATAATATGGCAGCAAAAAACTGCCTAGCTTGCGCCTTCGTCTTCGTGCACTCGCATATAAGTGCCACACGGGCCGATACAGCTCGAATAGATATTGCAAGTAAGGTTGACAAATGCAAAGCCTATACGTGTGCGTCTTTGTCATTGCAGGGCACTTCTTTCTCCGCATGCACGCATAACACATTCGGCCGTTTTCGAGATTTCCAATTCAATGCGACGCAGCGTGCTTATCTACATATCGTCGAGGAGTCGCTCTTTGTTTGGACAGTTTCGCGCGCTCTTATCACACGGCGGCTACAGTATGAATGTATTAGATATTGCTAGTAGCACGTGACTACTCGCGGCTACTCCTTGGTGTTGGTAATAATATTCGTGTGTGAGCTTTGAGAGTGACTCGGCTATGCAGTCGTCGATCGAAGCCGCTCGTTTGTAATGCACTTGCGATGTGCAGCGTGTGTACCGATATATGTCTGCACGCGGGGCTTCGACGACGACACCAACAACGCCAACGAATCGTACAACTTCTTGGGTGATTGACACACATAGCCAAGAAGTAAATTACTTTTTCTTTTTTTTTTCTATTTTTTTTTCTTACACACGCATACGTTTCTTTGTTATCGAACCCATTTAAGAACGAAGCCTTTTTATTTTAATCAGATGCATTTTATCGAAAGTAGCGGTCCCCCCAGATATCGAAAAAGCACGCATATCATTCAGTTGTACAAACAAAACGTAGATTATTTTAGAAAATATTGTTTACGCGACCTTGGTCGCGAAGCAAAACTATGTCGCCTGAAGCGTCCAATGCTCCTCGGAAATTTTGCTACATCGATTGCATCGAAAAGTTCGTATTCGGCTGCTGTAAGTAAATAAAGTATACACACGCGGTCCCCGGAAGACCTGTAGCAAGCTCTGACAAAAATCCACCTGCACGCAAGGCAATCTAATCCACTCGCGCTCTATCTCGCCCACTTTTCTCACACGCAATGCACTCTTGCGTGAGGTGCAGATCCAGTATTCTGCACAAAACGCAAAGAAAGCAAGAGAGAGAGAGAGAGAGAGAGAGAGAGAGAGAGAGAGAGAGAGAGAGAGAGAGAGAGAGAGAGAGAGAGAAAGAGAAAGAAAGGGAGAGAGAAAATCACTCGCTTCGAAAAAGCCCGAGTGCACGTTGTATTAAACATACACTGCATACCAACCTACTACACATTTCTCGTCTTCTTCTTTTTCTTCTTCTGCTTCTTTTCCACGAGGGTCCATTGCACTTCTGTCTCACTGGATAGGTAGTTGCCCAGAGCGCAGTAAGAGAGAACGCGCCACGTATACGTATACGGGGTAATTTTGCCCTTGTGGGTTTGCGTGTTGCAAGGTGTTCATCATTTATACTTCTCGTGTGCTATGTGCACACGAGAATCTCCAAGGTCATTCGATTAATTGATTCACGTGCTTTTGTGCACTGGCGTTTTTTATTCGCCGATTATTGCACACTTGTACCTGCTATCTCCCGATGATCTAAGAGAATCTGCGCTGCCGACAGATGCGAAGTCTAACAGTTTCACCAACCACTCTGATATAATTTAATGCACTCTCTTCCCATTTCTCGTGTTATTAATTTCTGGGCATATTTAACTTCGTGATACATTTGGCCCCCAGTTTAAATTAATGCATTTTCGAAACGCGTATTCGATTGTCGCTCGTTTATTGATTCGTCGCCCTGCTTCAATATTTATATTAACTGGAAGCGAAATAATTGAGAGCATTATCCTCCCAGCTCTCATTTATTCATGCAATGATACAACTGGATGGCGCGAAAATATACAAGCACTTTATAACGCGAGAGACATTTTTCTTGTTGCTCTATAACTTATACTAACTCACTAGTACCAACTTGCACCATTTTCTCTGCTCTGCTTCTTTTTTCAAACCATACCAACACAAAAAGATTCTCCGTCCATCGCTGTCCCCTTCATATTCAACGTGACATTTTACGGGACCGAATTTTATGCTTTTGAAAATCTCCTTTCGTCGCGCTGTCGTCTTGAACTACGTTGCTGTTACTGCTGTTGCTGCCGCTGACTTGGCAGGAACGAAGAAACTCGAACAAGATCACTTTTTTTACTATATATACGTACTGTATATGTACGTACTCGCACTCGCGCCTTGTGTCTCACACGCTTAGTTTACTTGCTCTCAATAATTTTTCCTACAAAAAGTCGTATTCATATGGAATATGTTTCCTCTCAAAAGACTGCACGCTTAAATAATCTTACCTTCGCAGAATCGACATCTTATTATTGTGAACTTAAATCAGAAGCTCACCACTTTTCGTTCTATGCATGGCGTTGAATTGATTCCATGCAAAATCTATACGATTTCGAAATAATAGAAAAAAAATTCTTTTCAGTAATTTCAACGTACATGGAAATACTCTCAGCGCCCGCGATGCACAAATTTTCTTCGATAAATATTCGCGTACTTGCTCTACATTGTGCATGCCTATTTTGAAATTCATTTTAAAATAAAAATTCTTGAATAAATTTAATGCAGGATTTCGTACGTTCCAAGTTTAAATCGCACCGGGTGCAGCCTGTAATTGCCATTCGCGTATAAGCGCAAGCGTGTGTGTATGTCGCTGTCGTTGCTCCGACGACGACGCTTCGTGTGCGGGGATAAATTTCCTCTACGCGTTCATATATATATATATATGCACAAGCGTATATATACCATGCACGCACACACGTCGCCGAGCGCGTTAATTACTCGCATTCGTGTGAGCATTATGAATTTGACTGCGCATATATATATGCGTTTTTAATTCCACTTGCCAGGCTCTCCTGGTCACGTTTTATAACAAGTCTAATACGAGTATTCTGTAATAGACAGTTTTGCACGCTTGATACAATTCAATGTTATAATCGGTATAGCGGTTAAATTATTGCCTAGTGGAATACGGTTGAGTATATTTAGTTACATGCTTATCGATTGTTATTGTGGTCGAATAATATTTCGTATCTTTCCGCTTCTTTCGTGGGATTTCTACGCATCGTTCGTGATTATATTTTACCGAGAAAATATTCTGAGGCAATAATTTTGCCTTGCTTTATTCGATTAAACGAAAAATAATTTTTAAACTCTATGTCGAGTCGTTCGTATCGACAATTAATTCGCATCATTGATTGAAGTATTTTTGAGATTAGAGAACTCCAGACATACAACTAAGTTGGTATGCTTCGTCTACTGAGGAATTATCTAAAATAGTCCAATGACTTCTCGCGTAAAAAAAATCAATGTCAATGTTTGCACCAAACATGGACAATATTTGGTGCACACTTGGGCCAGGTCACACTTGTGCATTAATTTTGTTTACGCGGATTAGTTTACTGCATAAGTTAAAAAAAAGTTGTCAATTAAAATATAACTATACTGCACTAATACGAAAAGACTAATGAACTTCCCACATAACTCTTTTAGGCCTCAAGGTCCATTTTAAAATCATGCTTTTTTATCTAAGAATAATTGTGAATTTACATCACTGAAAAAACGATGAAGGAAATTTTAGAAAAATTCATACGCATTCTTCAAACGATTCTAAAGTATTTTTATTCTTTGTTTTTTTCTCCTAGTGTCGTTTTTATTTTAGATAAAATTTTCGAAGATTTTTATTAATAAAGTAATCATTTTTAAAATGGTCCCTAAAGCACATGAGATGAAACTAAGCACAGATAGCTTCATGATTATTTTTTTATTTTCGAGTGTTGAAAATAATATAAACATGCAGTTGGCAATGAAGTTTCCATTCATTCAAAAATGTATAAA